GGTTACATATATCATTGGTGTTGTCAGTAGAGGGGTTTATATCCACTGTAAGAATAAAGGCATACCATGCTGGCAACTGATACTTTTGGGTCGGTATTTACGGACATGTGTGGAAGTAAATCGCATAGGGATCTTATTAAGTCGGAGTGAGAGAAATGCGACGGTGCTGTTGCGGCGTTGCCACATTTCTCCGGTACGCCTTTTAATATCAAGTAAAGTAAAACCCCGATTGCAAACCGCTTATTTTTAAAAGACTTTTTTGGAAAATAAATTATTAGATATGTTTCTGAGCATCTGAGGGATATCGTTAGGGTGTCCATTTTTTTATAACGAGAAAACGGTCAGTAATCGCGAAAATTTATAAACTCAACTTTTTAACACATAACACGCGATAACTCAAGAACCGCTTTAGATATTGAAATTTTTTGTTGTTGTTCGGATCTTTTACAAGATGTTTAAATGAGAAAAATTCGATAGGCTTGTTTTCTTTCCATTCAAAAATTAAAAAAAACGTTCATTTATTTTTAGTGCATATCAGTTCAGCAATCGTGTAACTTTCTTACTTGTAAAGATTTTCACATACTGTCTGCGAAGACAATATAGCAGAAAAATAAGGAAAGTTTTTCAAAAAAACTACAAGCAATTATTTATAATGGATTCCGAGATATCGATTTTTGAATTCAGAGTTTTAATAGCGCGACCACTGTCAAACACCAACTCAGTTTCACACCAAAAATGCAAATGTTTCTAACTTGCAGTTAAAAATTTACAAGCTATATGGAAAATTACAGCGACTCGTTAATAAATAAACAAATAAAGTATTACGATACGTAATTAAATCGTGAAGCTGAACGCATGATGTACCTTTCCTAGGTTTTAAGTACTGATTAGGTCGAATCTGCTCTATCTCCTTCCACGTATCTTAGCAATGTGCCAGTTTCTCGGTTTATTTCATACGTTTGGCAACGTTTTTATTGTGCTCTCTTTGTTCAGTACATTATAAACGCATTGTACTTTTCTTACATACGGAAATCTCGACCAAAAACTAACCTTTGCCAGCCCTTAGCGATTTAGTAGCACAGTCGTTGACTTATGGCTACTGCTACCCCTTCCTGTTAATCTTCCTACTAAGTTTAACTTCCGGTTTGATCAAACAACTACAACTTGCTAGTTCTGTATTACAGAATTTTATGTCAGTAGTAAATCTACACTGTTTCAATCGAATATTTTTTATTGTGATAGATATAGAATGGATATTTTATAGTTTCCATTTTAGGTATATTTTTAAGTTTTGTCATTTTTATATACTGAAAAGGACATGTTCAGATTCAGAAGCTCTCTGGATATATATTGAAGAGAGAAAATCAGAAATGAAAACGTAAAACAACGATGGTTCAATAATGACTGATATAGAGAGAAAATAATTGATATCAGCGGAGACTCGTGAGTTCTAAAGGACAGTGGGCACACAAGAAAAAACTCATCTACTATATTCAGTACAAAGTTTTTATTATCCTTCTTCTTTTCAAGTCTACTCTCCTTCTAGTTTTCACTCTAAAAATGACATCATTATTTGATCGTATAAAGTGTAACGTAAAAATATCATCATGCATTCGAATTATACAGGATGTTTAAAAAAACATGGGCCGATTCCTCACGTAAAAATAAGACTTATTTTTCATATCAACATAGGTCCGATTCTGCTTTGTTTCGTAGCTCCAGGTTGTTAAAGAATCTTTCGATTTATTATAATTTTCTTCCAAGTACTTTTAGTGTTTTGAATGGAGTTTTGAGGGTAAAAGTTACTATAAGTGTTAAATATTTTAATAGTTAATGTAAAATAATATGCTAAAAAAGTGTCAATAAATGTATCAGGTATGTGCGTATGGGTTATCAATGGGATATTAAAAAAAACATGTGCGCCACTGACTTTTTTCTTTTGATATCAAAATTGTGTAGACCGTTTAAGGCTCCGCGCGCACTGCATCGGATCGGACCGACCAGCAAAAGCGACTGCGACCATCGTACATATAGACGGCGCCGGCGTCCACTAAAACATTTCGGCCTGTAGAGGCCAGATTCCTACCTCTACCTATCTACGATAGTCGAGTCACCGCCTTCGCCGTTTCTCGCCGGACTGGTACCGATTCAGTGCGCGTACACCTTAATGCCAATTAAAAGTTATCTCTTCATATTTTGCCGAATTTTGGCCTCCCGTTTATAGGAATTTTTTTGAGGATGAGGAATCAATGAGTACTTATTTAAAACTTTTGCAAGTAAATGATGTTTATAAAAGTTTATCTCATCAAGGAAGCCGAAATGAACAAAATATCAAGAGAAAACTTTTAATCGGCATTAAATGGCTTACACTATTTCGCTAACAAGAGAAAAAAAGTTTGTGGCGTACATACTTTTTTTAGGAAAATATTCCAGAAAAAAACCATATGCATGTCCCTGGTGAATATGTTGACACTTTTTTAGCGTTAAAATATGTAACACTTATAGTAACTTTTACCCTCAAAATTCCATTCAACTCACTAAAAGTACTTGGAAGAAAATTATAATAAATCGAAAGATTATTAAGAGTTTAACACCCTGTAGCTACGAAACAAAGCAGAATCGGACCTATGTTGATATAAAAAATAAATCTTATGTTTACGTGAGGAATCTCCCCACGAGAGATGGTACATGTTTTTGAAACACCCTCTATATCTTAGCCGTTGGGTGGGCACGTGCCCCTGGGTCGTTTAGGATCAGCCGCCACTCATTGCTTTGGTACGGGTAGTAAGCAAAGGATGGAAAAACCAAAATTACCGAAAATGGCTATGCATGCAATGGGTAAAATGCAAAATAAAACACTAGTCACCACAATACACCAAAATACTTTTACTTTTACACTGGACGCGCGCTTCGCTAACCATGTTAGCATCATCAGCAGATGATTATAAACTAAAGTACAATCTACAAGTTTAGCGTTTATATACTCGCCCAGTAGGCATCGAGTGGGCGTGGCAGAATCTAGCCAACCGAGTCAGAGCCCACTGAGCATAACAGTTAGATTTCCGCCACTAGAGTAGTAGGAACAACGAACTTGAAGGAATTGGATCGTTGTCTAATTCTGATGCTTTCATATGCACCTAATTGCCTGTAATTTCAGACTTGTTTAATTAATTTTAAATTATTAAGATCTATACAATGTTCTTTATCAACAATATGTTCGGCAACGCAAGATTTATCCGGTCTACCATATCTTATCTGAGCTAAATGTTCTTTAAATCTAGTTAATATTGATCTTCTAGTTTGCCCAACATATTTCTGATTACAGTCTTGCAAGAAATTTCATAAATACCCGACTTTTCTAGTGGAGGTGTTTTATCCTTTGGATTACCTAATAATTGTTGTAATTTATTATTAGCACTATACACAGGTTTATAATTGACATTCTTAAAAATTCCTTTTAGACCACGTGTTCCAAAAATTCCTTTCAGACTCTCTATCAAACGGTATTGAAAAATATTTAGACGTATCTTTCTCCACTTGAAAAGTCCAATTTTCAGAAATCATTAACCTATACCTACGTTTTCTAATTAATTTATCGGTGAAGGCTGGCTAATTTATTCATGAGCAGGTTTTAAGTGGAGGTTAAGAATCAGTTTGAGTATTTTCCAAGAGTATGGTTTAGGTATGTGGATGATTATTTTTAAGCAAGGAATTTATTGCATTTTCATGCCTCCGTTTATCGGATACACGTTGGTGTTATTTTATATTTTCGTTTCCATAACGATTTAACTATTTTACTTATATTTCTATTAAGGTTAGATTAAATTTGTCAAAAAAGTGTCAAAACGTCCGTTATCGTATGAACGGGTACGTTGAGGGGCTGAAGTTAAATATTTACGGATGAAAAGTGGCGCGAAAAAGCTATGACCACTCAGAGCACCGTCGCGTCGGACTAAGCGTCGGACCAACGTATCAACGTATATGTTGGATGGATATGGATGCATGAAAATCAAGCTTACTCGTAGCGATTTTTGCCAAGAGACCTTTTTTATGTGAAAAACGTTGTAAATGTATATTTTTTTACTCAGTAGTTTTATACAGATACGGACGGAAAGTTATTACTCTTCAAACCAGTTAAAAAATAAGTTGGTAGCGCTCTTTACAAGTAGGAGTCATATTGACATCAAAATCAAATTTCTCATGTCAAAAAACTCCGAGACACCAATTTTCAACCAAATATTGACGTTACTTCAGAAATTATTTGGAAAAAATCGAAATAAAAATAAAACTTCTACACCATGTATCTCCGAAACTAAGCATTTTAGGACATACATTTATATGAACTTTTTTACTTATTTTTATCTGGAGAATATGCCGTCAAAGTTTCCGGAATACAATTCTGACCACCCTGTACATACAAACTTCTAATTCAACCTTAGCCAGAAACACCCTTTACACATAATAGATAGATATGTATACTTGTAATTAGCAAAACGACTTAGCCCTAACCTCATCCCTCGTTCTCGTGCACAACCCCCAAACATTCCTAATTATAATCTCCAACTCTATTTAAGCGCCAGATTTAAACTATCCATACAGCCGCCGGGCCCGAGCAGCCATAATGAGTTTATTCAACCTCATTTAACCCGGAAATATGGTTACCCAGAACATTCCGGCTAGATAAAGCGAATAATACAGCCGTAAGCGACCCACCCGGATCGGGTAACAAAGGATGAGCAGCGGGGGTGTGTCCTGACTATCGTCCCACCCCCGCTGCGGTCGGAGCGCGGCCGGGGGCAGGGTAAAACGATGCCACCACCGCTAAATGATGATGGTACAAAACAAGAGCGTTTTCTGTCGGTAATGTTATTAGACGAGATAAGGGAGTCTTTTTAAAAAGTTCTATGGCTCTATTTGTGCTAATTCAGTGCGAAGAGATTGGTTCCGGTGGGCGGTAGCGTGTCCAGATCACGATTAGTTTGGATCGGTAGATTCTCTCGGTGACATTGGTTGTAGGTGAATGGTGAACTTGTTTTGTTTTGTGCGATTTGGTGAAATTGTTGTAGGTAAGTTTTAATTTTTATACGGACTTAATGCAGGTTGATAATAATTTATTGAACAAAGTATTTTTTTATGAATATAGATCCGTTTTATTAGCTGAACCAAAGTATATTATAGAGTTTTGATACTCTTTGGTTAAAGTAAATAATTATTGTCCCTGCTATCTGTGATATCCATGACTACTACAATAGAAATATAAAAAGTCCAGAAGTGCATTAAAACGTACAAAATACAGGGTGAGTCTTAAAAAAGATTGCTTGAAATATACTACCCTTAAAAATATTTGCACATATTTAAAGCTCAACCTCTATAACAAAATTTGACAAATCATAATTCGAATAAAATTTTAAGGGCAAAAGTTACTGTAAGTGCGACATTGTGCCTATGGGTTATCACTTGAATATTTAAAAAAAACATGTGCGCCACTGACTTTTTCTCTTGTTAGCATAGTTGTTAGCCATTTAATGCCGATTAAAAGTTATCTCTTGATATTTTGTTGATTTCAATCTCCTTGATGAGATAAACAGAATTTCATCAAAAACTATGAAAGAAAGTTCTTATAGGTAAACATGGGTGTGGAAATGTTTAGTTTTAAAGATAGAGGGATGGTTAAAACTTAAAAAAATACGTTTTTTGTAATTATCTTAAATACCATTATTTTTTCTTGAATTTGCTGTGGGCAGCATTGAAGATCAGTGTTATAAATTTTAATAAAATTTTACTATAAAATATATTAAATAAATAATTTATTAATTTTATTTCTATTTTATTAATTGTGGTTTATTAAAATTGCATTTATATCATCAAGTAGATCAAAATTGACAAAATATCCAGATACAACGTTTAATCGGCACTAAACGACCTATATAATTTTGCTTCAATCAGGAGAAAAAAGAGTCAGTGGCGTACATGTTTTTTTTAGATAAAATATTTTAGTGATTTATGCACGACCCTGGTAACTCTGTCGACACTTTTTACTACCAAAAAATGTAACACTTATAGTAACTTTTATCCTCAAAATTTCATTCGAGTCGCTAAAGGCACTTGGAAGAAAATTATAATAAATAGAAAAAAAATAAGACTTTAACCCCCTGTAGATACCAAACAAAGCAGAATCGGACCTATGCTGATATAAAAATAAATCTTATTTTTACTCAAGAAATCTCTCCACGAGTATTTTAATACAAGTAAATAATTTTGTAGGTCAATGCTATATCTAAACATAATACACGAAAAACCCTTTTTACTTTTCACAAAGGAATAACCTCCTAGAAGAATGTAGAATGAGTGGGAGGGTGGTTAATCACTGCGACCTTACAGATCTATTCTGTTCAAAATCAGTTGTACCTAAGTTTATGGCACGAATAGTTGTCGTCTCGGCGCATTCAGTGATAAGGTGTTCTGGTGTTTCCCCATTTTCTCCACACAATCTGCATTCGCCGTTTTTTCTTACCGTCAATCTACTGAGGTGTTCATTGAGGAGACAGTGTTCTGTTAAAAATCCCGTGACAATCCGAAGATTGTTTTTACTTCAATCGAGGTAAGTCTTTGATTTTTCTTGGTCTTAAGTCACTTTGTCGTCCGTTGGAGGATTTCCATTCCAGGTTACGGATGTCTTTAAGTTGGTCTCCGCTTCGAAAGCAGAACGGTTCCGATCCAGTTAATGGAGTGTTCACTCCTTTTCTAGCTAGATCACTTGCTTTCTCATTACCTTCTATACCTTGGTGAGCTGGCACCCAGAGTAGGAGGATTTGGTGTTCTTTGTCTAATTTGTTCAGCTTCTCTATGCATTCTTTGACCAACTTCGAATGGATTGATACTGAGTTGATGACTATCAGATCAGATGGCTATCAGACAATGATGACTATCAGATCAGATGACTATTGCTTGTTTCTGATAGTTCCTATCTAAGATAAGTTGTACGCATCTTTCGATAGCGTAGTTCTGGGCCCAAATACTCCGATTCCTGTCCTTGCCTGTAGGATGCTACGGTAGGCATTTATACATTCCGTACATGTATACGGCACCTAGCAATCTCATTGGTCAGATTTGAATTTTAAACCAATTAAACTCCGAGTGCCATATGCGAGTATGGAATGTAAAACAGTGCCATTATGCACTTACGGAATGTACCTTAGACATTACTGTTAACGCTTTCTTATAGAGCATTCCAACCAAAACCAAACCAACACCACCAAATAGCAAACCTAACCAACGCAATCAACCCCACCAAATAACCATCTTAACCAACGCAACTAACTCCACCAAATAATCAATCTAACCCCACCAAAAAGGGTGAAACCAACGCAATCCGTATTTTAATCGCTATTAAATATTTACAGCTTTTTTTAAAAAATAAAAACAGTTGTAAAAAAAATAAAAAAGGTATGGTCCGGCGTGAGATTTGAACCACGGACCTCTCGTTCACGAAACGATGGCCTCAGTCACAGAGCCACAGCTACTTTTGCAAGATTAGCTATAGCCAGGCGTTATTTTCTGCTGCAAGCATAATTACCAGGTACATTCCGTAAGTGCTCATCAACATTCCATACTCGCGTATGGCACTCGGAGTTTAATTGGTTTAAAATTCAAATCTGATTAATGGGATTGTGCTAGGTGCCGAATACATGTACGGAATGTATAAATGCCTACGGTAGGTGCCCATTGGTTTGGAGTATTTAGTTCTCGACCCAAATACTCCGATTCCTGTCCTTGCAGTAACCTCCTAATTTTTTGCACTTATTTATTTATAATCTGTATGTTATCTAAGAGCTAACTTAAAATTCTTATTTTGATATTTTCTGCGGATTTTTAATTTTTACTTATTTTCAGGGTATTAAAACTGTAAGTTCTAATTTCTAATTCCAGGTTATAATGTAAGACAAACGAGCTTTAATCATTCGTCTTGCCCAATACGAAGTAAATGTATGATATGCTCCACCATTATAACTATTCCAACACGCTGAACAGATTCTTGTCCGGTTACCATCACCAGCTCGACGATCCCAATGGAAATGACCATGAAAATCCTCTTTCGGGACTTTGCGACGATTCGACAGCAGAAGAAGAACCGAGATGTACCAGCAACTCTTCAGCTACAAGCAAGTCCTTCACGATAGCAGCGATTTTGGGACTGAACAACAATGAAAATAGTAATTTGTGTAAGTATTTTATACAGCTAAAACGGATTTTCTAGCAGTTAAACCTAAAATCTGGCGTCGAAATATTAACGATTCCTTCATAATCTTGTATGAAGAACAGATAGAGAGTTGGATTCCTTTCTCAGTTATCACTCAAAATTACTCTAGCATATTTACTATTGAGAAAGGGAAATACTAACATCTTCACGTCAGCAAATAAAATGCTGTCAAGTTCATTATTCGTTCTGTAATACTGAATCAGCCACACCGTTTCGGTCAGACTGACAGGTGAGAACCCGCCTTACAAAAAACCATAGATAGAAAAACACGAAAATTTAAAGAGGCCGCTTTTATTTGAAACAATATAATTATATTCTAATAGCTAGCTAGCATAAAAGCGTTGGTTAAAAGAATTGAGAAGATACGAAAAATCTTGGGAAGATACGCATAATGTGTGAATTCGTGACAAGGCTCATTTGATTTCCCCTAACGTCTTAAGTGTTGTAGGGTAGAGCCACCACTCATTCTGCGGCCAACGCATAAAACACTAATTTCCTCTAATTCGGCCAGCGAAGGCATATTAAAGACAGTGTTGAACTAAAAGCGACAATGTTGCCATATTAAAATGTGTAATATCTTTAGATGAAAAATCAGCGTTTATGTATTGAAAATTTATTCGTGTTAAACATAGAATAAACATTAAAAATATATTTTTTATAGGTACTGAATATATGATCGAAAACAGTCGTTTAGTTGGCTTGGAAATCAGAATTATTGACATTTACCATATTTTACATATGAAATAACAGCGATCTTCATTTCCAAACCAACTTTGTCGCCGTTCTTTGTTTTATCATATAATATTGTTTTAAATTATATATAAATTCCGTATCATTAACGTACTGTACCCAAAATCCTTAAATCTACGGATTAATTGGTAGTTCTTGCTACACTGTATCCAGCAACCATCCACTCTATCGAGTGAACGCAGAACCGCGGTACAGTATTTTTTATCCGCTGCGCTGTAAACAACCGGCGCGCAACGGCGCAGACCTAAACTAAATCTCGTACACCCTGACGGTGGGCCAGCTACATCTCGGACACCTTTTGTGCCACGAAATCGCCCATAAGGTTGCGCATCTTCTTATTTCTTCAATCAACGATAAAAATACCAAGAGCTTGGAATTTTTTTCTAAAATATAAACAATGTAATACTATATTAGAAGAACGATTGGTAATTTTATTTGAATTTCTTTTGAAACGTAATTAAATACACCTGTATTAAAAAGTAGAATATAGTTGAATTATTCTCATTTTATTGCAGGTAGCTCCTCAACAGATCTCAACGTTGTAAATTTAAGTGTACATCAAGGCAATCCTGATCGCCCGTTTGTGTCAAATAGACTTCAATTATCAGTGAATCAGCATAACTCCTTCGTCCCGTCAAGCCACTATCCAGTGTCTGGACATGGAATACCTTCATCAAAAGCTAGCAGTAAGTTTTTAGTAATCTTAATGACGAATAACATTAATTTTAAGTCCCCCTAAAAATCGATAGATTTTCTTTTTATTTTTATTTCTTGTATGCAAATATTTTTACTGGAAAGTTTTTAAGATAAGATTAAAATTGTGCTTTTGAACTGAGATGGTCTTGGTTTTCAAGATAGTGATAAAAGTGTTAATGTTTTTGAAAATGCTATTATAGTATTTTAAAATTCAATATTTGATGAGAATATCCGACTGAAAACCCTATGCTAAAATTGAGCAAATTCAAAAGGCCAAGAAGCACTATGGAGAATCTTTGTCTTCATATCTCCGAGAGGTACTTAGGTACCCAATATGCATTTGTTCTGCGCTGCCACGTTGTAAGATGAAATATAGTTACCGGGTCCCGCAGACCGCGCATTAACGGTTAGCACATTTACAGTGCCTTCTATGTGACACCGATTGCTCGTTTCTACCAGTTAGGAATTGCACTGCAGCAAAATGCACTCCAATCCCTATCGGGCAAGGCGATCACGTGTGCCTTAAAGCTGAGTACATATACGTACAGTGCAAAAAGAGTATATGAAAATACGTTTCTGTTTTTCAATCTAGAAGTTTTTCTAAACGTAGACACGTAAAAAAACTTTTTGCGGAAGTGTACCATTTTCATTTATTGATAACATATTGTAAAATATAGCAAGACTAGCGTGTAGCCGTATCCGCGACTTTGTTCGCGTCGAATTAATCATTTGTAATGGTGATGATAAAGCAAAGCAAGAATTTCCATTAACATACAAACTGGATAAAATTTTCTCACATTTATGTCAGCATGAGAAAAAACAACATGGCGATATTATTATATAACTTGGTAATATTTGAGGGGTAGTTTCATCTCGTTGGAATTTGACCTCGAATTTGACTGTCGAAAAATCCGCTTTTTACGTCAAGCAGTTTAAGCAGAATCGTGGTTAATCAATTACCCAACTTTTTGGAACTCCCTGTATAATTTTTTAAAACAATTCAAAATATGTAAAAAAACAAAATAAATTATGCGTGTCCAAGCGTTTTTGGTTTGGTTTGGGGCGTTTTTCACCCTCTTGGAATTTGAGATTCGAGAAACCCCTCCTTATCGAACCTCTACACCCCACAGTTAATCCTTTTGCCAAAAATCAGCTTTAAGCGTCAAGCAGTTTAAGCAGAATCGTGATTACTCAATGGTCATATTTTATGAAACACCCTGTATAAATTTTTAAAAAATCTTAAAATATGTATAACAACGAAATAAAATATACTTGTTTAAGAGTTTTTCCGAAAAACTCACCGGTTTTTAAATAAAAAATATTCTAATATTTAAAGGGTGGTTTCACCCCCTTATAATTCGAGTATCGAAAAATCTCTTCTTATCGAAAATCTACACCCTAAAGGCAATCCGTTTTCCAAAAATCAGCTTTTTACGTCAAGCGCTTTAAGCAGGATCGTGATTAATCAATGACAAGATTTTTCGAAACACCCTGTATACATATTTAAAAAATTTTATAATATGTAAAAAAACAAAATAAAATATACTTGTTTAAGCGTATTTTCGGAAACTTGACCGTTTCAATAAAAATTATTGTAATATTGAGGGGTGGTTTCAACCTCTTGAAACTGGAATTTCGAAAAATAGGATTTTATACAGGGTGGTCCGAACTGTATTCCGGAAACTTCGGCAACATATTTTACTGATAAAAATAAGTAAAAAAGTTCATATAAATGTAGGTATGTCCTAAAATGTTTAGTTTCGGAGATACAGGGTGTAGAAGTTTCATTTTTATTTCGATTTTTTCCAAATAATTTATGAAGTAACATCAATATTTGGATGAAAATTGGTGTTTGGGAGTTTTTTGACATGAGAAATTTGATTTTAATGTCAAAATGGCTCCTATTTGTAGGAGGCGCCACCTACATGTATTTTAACTGTTTGGAGAGTAATAATTTTTTGTCCGTACCTGTATAAAACTACTGAGTGAAAAAATAGACATTTCCGTGATTTTTTACGTAAAAAATGTCTCTTGGTAAAAATCATGTCAAAAAACTCCCAGACACCAATTTTCGTCCAAATATTGACGTTATTTCAGAAATTATTTGGAAAAAATTGAGATAAAAATAAAACTTCTACACCCTGTATCTCCGAAATTAAGCATTTTACGACGTACATTTATAAGAACTTTTTTACTTATTTTTATATGCAGAATATGTTGCCGAAGTTTCAGGAATACAGTTCGGACCACCCTGTATATTAGTATAGATTTGAAAAGTACTCGGCAATTGGAATTCGTAAACACACGCGTTTTAGCTTACCGCGTGTTTTGATTGTTTTGGTTAGGTATGTTTTAGTTTGGTTTTGTTTCGTTTTTGTTTATTTTCGTTTCTTTTTCGGTACGGTATTAACTACAGTCTAAATTACAGTATCTACTAGGTTAAGTTCATACCTACACAAGAAAAGTGTTTTTCCACGTTTAGCAAGGTTTCCTGCGGCGCACTTCGGCACCTTTTTCGTTCCGCCCGATGAGGGATTGGCGTGCACTTTGATCCAGTGTAATTCCTAACTGGTAGAGACGAGCAATCGGTGTCATATAGGAGGCATTGCAAATGTGCTAACGGTTAAAGGTTAAGCTTATTGTGGTAGATATGCGTCCTTCTGTTATAAATGAAATGGTGCTCGCAGGTTTAGGACCAGGAATTAAACAACGTTTTATTTAAAAAATTGCTGAAGTTTCGACGTGTATTTTTGTAGCTTTTATTAGCGGAAAATAGCCTTGATAAAGACGAAAATACACGTTGAAACGTTGATAATTTTTGAAATAAAAGGTTGTTTAATTCCTGATCGTAAACCAGCAAATTCCATTTCATTAAGCTTATCGTTGAATAAAAATGCATTTTAAATCTGTCTAAAACGTTTAATTTATGTTTGCATTTTGCGTATTAGACACTTTTTCTTTCGCTACAATAGATGTCCTTAAATTTAAAATCGAGCTCACATCCGAACTATCGTCGAAAAATATGCCTTCCGCATCCACGTAGCTCCTCCATTTTTTACATTGGGCCCTTCTATTTGCTCTGGTCGCTTGTGTTTCCCGGTAAAAACACGGTTCTTCTGGCAACGTATCGGAATATTTCCATTTTCTAAATCGTTTCAATATTTCAATTAATAATAATTATAAATACTTACTAGTTGAAACTCGTCTAATTTCAACGGCCGATGTATTGGAATTGGTCATAGGTATGTAAAATTGCATTAGAAAAGCAAACTACCAACTTAAGCTAAATTAAAATCTCTATACATGACTAAATGCTATACAAGGTGCTACAAATTCGGGGTACGAGCATTGGTATCTCGGTAACCATAATAAATATGAAGATGGTTATATTGGGCCAAAGTTGCGCTTTGGGATGTTCACCAAGATGATGCCATCAAAAAAGTTTCAAGGATTGCTGAGTTTTTTGGAAAAAACGGATTTTTTTGAAAATTAATTTTATTTTTATATATAACTCGGTTTTTAGAAAATCAATTGCACATTCTCATAGCCACTTTATTAGGGCTATCTGATAGTATTTTTAGATTTTCAAATTAGCTGATAATTTGTGAGATACAGAGGCCAATTTATTTTTTTTAAATACGGAATTGCATTTTTTATTTCAGATTTTGAAAGAACTCGGTCTCCTAAGTAAAACGATATGCCACACTTAATATTTTTTTGTTTCAGACATTTGAACACAATTTATTTACACTAAGTAGTCAAGTTCGGCTGTGTTTTTTTAATATTTAATCTATTCATCGTTACAATGTTGATTAGCATTCAAACTTAACAATGACGTGTGGTAAAACATTGAATACGGAAAATCAAATGCAGTAAAATAATAAAAAATAATATAATATAAAAAATCAAATCATTTCCCTGGAAGATGAATTGGAAATTGTAGAGCAGTATAATGACCAGCGAGGTTCCTGGACCTGTCGCCAAGGGGCGGGGGGCATTACTTGATGCCATTTGTAAAAGTGAAATCAATACATTTCAACATTTACAATAAAGAGTACAAAATGCATTCAGAAGTAAAAGAAGAAAATGTGTTCAAAGAGCTATAAATAAAATTGAATGAAAAATAAATTTGTGCAACAAGGAGAGTGGTAACCATTTCGAACATGTAGATCGTTAGAAACTAGTTGTAGTTGATTTTTTTTCACAGCTATTATGTCTGGTTGACAAGTGATCTCGGGAAACTAGTTTCCAAGAGGTTCACTGTGCGGGCTAACATTGTAAAACTTTACGGACTATTCGGCAAGTTCCCAATATTGCAGACTTCTGACATTCAAGTAGATAGGATGGGTTGTTAAGATGGAGAATTTTGAGATTTTTAGAAAAGCTCTTATGGAATAAACCGTTAGCTGAAATAATGAATGGAATTATATGTACTTTATTTAGGTTATAAACCAGTTTCAATTGGTAATTCAATTCACTGTACTTAGCAATCTTTTCTAAATAAGTTCTCTGCACATTTTCATCAAGTGGCACACCAATATCTATAATCCATCCATGCTTATTCTTTTTGTCAATAACCACTATATCCGGTCTATTGTGGGGCACCGCAGTGACAGTTATAATCGGAGTATCCCAGTATATGACAGTATCACCATTCTCCGCCTTCCATGCAGGTATGTATTTGTGAGTGGGTTTGAGATCTTTTACTAACTCAAAGTTTTTACACAATCCCTGATGAATCACCTTACACACCATATTATGTCTAGCCAAGTACTCTCCGGGGGCCAGCGGGGAGCACCCCCCTATAATGTGCTGTATGGACTCAACTTCTTTCCCGCACATTCTACATTTATCTGATTCAATATTAGTGCCTTGAATATTTTTAATGTATGCTCTGGTAGGGACGACTTGGTCTTGTATAGCGTGAAGAAATCCTTCCGTCTCAGGAAAGAGATAACCTGATTTTAGGTAAGTGCAGGAAGCTGGAGCGTCTTATTATAAATAGCAATTATTTATAAAAATTATGATTAATATGATGCATATGATTAGATCGTAAAATTCACAATAAAAAAAATAAAAATAATATCTTTAAATTGCCGACCTGGATATCATTTATTTGAATCTCTTAATTGGCTCGATTTTCCTTATTCATTGTTAATTAGCCCTGATTATTATTGTTGTGATAATTATAATCAGACTAAATAATTTAAAAAACCAGAGTCGGACTTGAAATTATTTTAAATAATAATTAAATAGTTTCGTTGTTAAGGTACCCAAAACAAAAAAAAAGGTATAAAGTGTGGCATATCATTGTACTCGGGAGATCGAGTTCTTACAAAATCTGAAATAAAAAATGCAGGTCCGTATTTAAAAAAATTAAATTGGCTTCTGTATCTCAAAAACTATTGCTAATTTGAAAATCTAAAAATACTATCAGGTGACTCTAATAAAGGGACAATAAGAATGTGCAATTAGTTTTTTGATTTTCTAAAAAGTAACGACAGGAAAAAATAAAATTGATTTTCAAAAAAATCCGTTTTTTTCCAAAAAACTCAGCGATCTTGGAAATTTTTAAAACTTTTTTGATGGCATCTTGGTGAACATCCCAAGACGCAACTTTGCCCCAATTTAACCATCTTCGTATCTATTACGGTTTCCGAGATACCAGTGCTTGTACCTCGAATTTGTAGCACCCTGTATATAGGGTGGTCTAAATTGTATTCGGAAAAATTCGCCAGAATTTTCTGCAGATAAAAATACATAAAAAGTTCGTCTAAATGTATGCCCTAAAAAGCTTCATTTCTGAGATACAGGCTGTAGAAGTTTCGATTTTTTCCAAATAATTTTTGAACTAACTATTTAAAAATTAAAAAAGTATATATTTTCGACATTCATATAGTGACAATCATAACAGTGACAATCATAAACACTATTTGACTGGGACCAAAAGCAAAGGCATGGTTTAATGTAAATATTACTTTTAATGTAAATATTACTAATTAAAATGTTAGTGTCTTCTTCAAAAGCCAATATCTCAAAAAAAAGCTATTGTGATGTACCAAAAAATAATCTACTGTGAAAAGATGCAACTAGATGATGAAATTATTTTCAAATTCCCTGCTTTTTTAACATATTCAACAGGGCCAACTTTCACCAAAATGACATGTTTTGTTCCCTCGTATAATTGACAGATGGGAACTATCATTTTTAATTTAGAAGGAGTTACTAAAAAGTCAAATAATTTAGCTACAAATTGCTTAAAAGATAATCAAAATAGGCTCACTAGAACAAAATATATAAAACTTTATAATAGTCATTATAGGTATGTATAAATTGACTTATTTTAATATAATATTTTCACACATATTCTCATATAGGCTAGATGCAGCAGATTTCAAAGCTGCAATATCAATCAAATTAGATATAAAAAACGAGATTTGGTATGTTAATATATAATAATAATAATAATAATAATAATAAATTGTCTTAATTGTACTATAAAAAAAATATAGTCTGTCCAACGAGAACATCCTTGACAGTGATAGATGTGTCTGTCATTTTAATTTCAAAGTAGTTTATTTTATTTTACAAAGAAATAAGTTGGTACAACTGGAACGCATAGCAGGAAATTAATATATTTAAAATTTGACTGACAAGTGATTACTTCAAAATATTGTGAAAAAAAAACTGTATAAAACTGAAAAAATGTAATAGAGTTATTTTATTCAATAAAAAACGGTATGTGTTAATACAAAACAAACAAGAACAAGACACCACATACCAAAAAAATATAAAAAAAGACTCTTACTTTCAAGCTTTATGAAAGTTCCCGCATTTATGATTATTTTTATCAATATAACTTATGTACGAAATACAAATTTGTAATATCCCACAGGAATAAATAAAACAACATAAATAAAACAAATTATTTTGTTAATAATAACACTTACCATAAATATTTTATACCTTAAAGGTTGATTAATTAACTTTAATCTTAATTTTTTTAAACCAGTACCTTTTAACATTATTTTTCGGCAGTACTAAAATCCATTATTTACCTATCGTGCGATGTCGATATTTTACAGCTACTCCAGTGTTTAGTATGTGTTTAGTATGGTTCATATTCGAGAGGCACTTATCTACTACGGCCAGATGGTATACGAACTTTATTGATGGTAACTTTATTGGTGTATAAGACTTTCCGCCTGGGAATATTAACTATAAACACAAACCATAAACTCCGTTCTGGGTCTACAATTAATTTTCACTCGATTTTTCCTCCACTTGACTTCAAAAGACACAAAACACACGTAATAACACGAATCAAAATGCATCATCTTCCAAGACGCCAAAAAAAATAAAAAGTTGACACAAAATTATAACCTATAATTTGGCAAGACTTTGACAAGCGTCAAAAATCTAAAGGCGAGTTCATACGCATCGGCGTCCGTTTGTTGTTTATCGTTCCGTCAAACCAATAAAATTGAAATACGATCTGTCATTTTTGAAATGAACCAATAAAACTGGTTAAAAACAACAAGAGACGACATATGACGGATTTATATTTAAACCCATCCATAGTTAACTTAAAAATTATTAGAAACTTTTTTTAGTAAAATAAATAGATTGGATCGTCTGTCGAAATCTTGTCGAAATCAATGACTAAAGAATACATGGACATGTAACGGTCATATACGGGCTGCAGCAAAATTTGTGACCTTTAGACGCCATTTTTTTGGACATAACGAATGAATCATCAGCTGTTCATCAGCGACAATTTTAGCGATTTTTAATAGTTGGGTATGTGTAGTGAACTTTGTATAAACTTTATTACAATGGTAATTTGTTCAGCTTTCAAGTGTAAAATGCGCAATGATAAGAAAGATCCAGGAGTTACGTTTTATAAGGAAATAAACAGTCCACTACACCATTTTAGCGTTTTTTTTTATTGAATTCGATAATTATTTTTCTGATATTATATGTACTGGATATGTCCTATACGTCGATACTAGTTTTGTACCTTTTGTTAAAATTTTAATACGTTTTTTTCGTAATTAATTAGTATGATACCACAGGACACACCAGAGGCGTAGTGAAAATATTTATCAAAAATATAAATATCGCTTCAAGCGGCTATGTTAAGAAAAATATGTGCCACGGCACTATTTGGAAGAATGGTCACAGTTTGGTCTCGGTTGCTATTTGTCCTTGTATTCTTTAGTCATTGGTCGAAATCTTACCTGAGAAAAAAAACAGAGTATAGTTACAATTTGTGGGCGAAGTTTAGCTGTAAGCTATTCTACCACTTAACCCAAACATAAATTACATTTTCTTATATTATGTTCAATATACTTACAATATACAATATTAAAAAAAAACATAAATAAATTATCCAACATGATGTTAAGAAAAAATAAAATAAAACAGATAACAATATGCATAGATTATACTATAAATTCATTATGTATCGGAGGTTAGGAAATATCGTTTTATATTGTATCTGAAGGATGTAAGTGACAGATTTTTAAAATTTTCAGGTAATGCGTTATATAGTTTTACGGCATTGTATGTAAACGAGCGACTAAAAAGCGATGTTTTATGCTTTGGTATTGTAAATTTGTTTAAAAATCTTATAGGCCTTTGTACTATGACATAAATTAGAAATGATTGACGTATTCAATTATTTTTGGTCATTTCCTGTTTCACCGGAAATAACTACAACTTTTGATTTCTAAATGACACCCTCGGTATTTTTTTACTTTATTCGATAGAAAATGATATTCTGAATAGAATGTCATATCATATGTCAACTTTTGACATTTCCGCATATGGTTTATATAAAATTGTAAGATGCGGTTCATAATGAAAATTTGACTCGAAATACCAAGTATGCGGTATCAAATTATTCGTAAAAAAATGCTTTTTCCAAATATGCCAATGAGCCAACCTCGTTCCATTTGAAAAAATTGAGATATGATTAAAAATACGATTTTGGAATTTTTTATCCGGCCAGGACAAGACACTAAAAACATTAAAAGATCAAATCTATTTTTCCAAGGCTCCTTGATTAAGAATTAGTGTTTTTAACATAGCCATGGCACTCTAGATTGAAATTTAAAAGACCATTTTTTTGAGGAAAAATATCAAAAGTTGACATATGATATGTCATTCTATTCAGAATGTCATTTTCTATCGAATAAAGTAAAAAAATACCGAGGGTTTCATTTAAAAATCAAAAGTTGTTGTCATTTCGGGTGAAATAGGAAGGGACCAAAAACAATTGAATGCGTCAATTAATCCTTATTTATGTTATATACTAACATACCAAATCTCGTTTTTTTATTTGAAAAATTAAAAAAGTTATAGGGGTGAGCGTCTTTTGAGACGCACCGGGTATAATTTTTATTTATTTTTTACTTACGGATCTATTTTTCTTGGAGGTAAATTAAATTCGCCGATTTTCATTAGACTGCTTATCTTTACCGTGGTAGAAATTTCTTTTGGTTTCAAAATCGTGTCTAGATATTTTCTGTCCACTCCCAAGACCCCTACAGCAATTCCAGATTCTACCAATAGTTCTTCTGGAGCTGCGTAAGCGATCTCTAGATACCGTATTCGTTCGTCGGCTCTGTAAATATGCAATCTATATATCTGCAAAAGCATATTTTACGGGGCGGGGGTAGGAGGACAGCAATTGGCTAAAATAAATTTGATCGTCCTGGACAATTTATGCAATATAAGAATGAATATGTTTGGTTTGGTATGGCCATGGTAGAATACTACTACTGTTGTATAATACTACTGTCTACTAATACTAACTAATTTTAGTACTAATACTACCGTACTAGAATAGTGCACAAAACATCCCCCTTTAGAACTCTAGAATCTGTCGTGTTAAGAAATTAAAGTAAATGAACTGCCACCTCGTGATTGTTCACAGGGTTAGTCTTATACGTAGTCTTATCGTACTCCGGCTGATAGCCATTAAAGAAAAAGTTCTAAAAGGGGATTTTTGTGGAATAGTGTGGGATTATATGCGTACTCTAAATACATTGGAGGAGCCTAATTGTCCAAAGTGCATCTCTGTTCACAGACTCGAAGGCTTTTGTTAGATCGATGAATGCAACATAAAGTTTAGACTGCTGCTCTTTTACTTTTTCCTGTAGTTGGCGGATGAAAAATATGGAATCGATGGTGCCGCGGTTGGTACGAAAACCCGCTTGCGATTCGGGAGGGATTTTTTCTAACAGGCGGTTTGACATAATTTTTCGGTTTGATTTTTCGGTTTGACATAAGTTTGGAGTACCCAACAAATTTCTTACAGTGTATAAAAGCCTCTATAATAACAACCAGTCAAGAGTGTCACATCATGGATCACTGAGCGATCTCTTCCTGACAAATACAGGAGTTAGGCAGGGATCTGTCTTAGCGCCTCTCCTATTCAACATATTCATGGCAGCGCTCTCCATTATAGTGGACAGCAAACTGCAGGAGAGAGGATTGGGCGTACCATACAGATATGACGGCAGTCTGTCCAACATAAAAAGACTCAGGGCAAAAACACGTACAAAATTCATCACAGAACTTCAATACGCTGATGACTGCGCTCTAATTGCAAATAGAGTTCCCAACCGTCCCGGTTTGGCCGGGATTAACCAGGAATCAGAAAGTTTGTCCCGGCGAAAGTTTTGCCTTGGCCGGGACCTGGAAACTAAAAAAGTGTGTACTGCACACATAATATCCCAAGCAGCATTTTGACGTCGGGACAACGTTGTGTCACGCGACCAAACGTCGGGGCGCAACGTCGGCACAACCTCGTGCCAACCCTAGTCTGCACTAGTTTGGAGAATAATTTTTGGGTCGAAACGACGCGCGACGTTGGATACCGACGTTGGCTAGTAGCCTAATTTAGTACAAACTGCAACGTTGTTTAAAATCCTAATTCACAGAAATATAAAACTATAATGATATGGCGTCTAAGTCGCGTTTTATCCTAAATTGGGATAATTATAGTAAAAATATTATTTTTATGATTTAGTTAGAGACATATGCCAGATGGCAGTAAAGGAAAACAAAACAAAAGTATTTAAGTGTGGATGTTTGTAGATCATAATTATTGAAACACTTTAACCGACTCTGTAACTCGTTACCCAAGGCAATAAAGTTAAACGCAAACAACTTTATTGATAAATGTATTGTTTCTACTTTGAAAAATACTAATGGGCCTTAAAATTAAAGAAGTTTAAAAAATTTCTTGATTTTTTTTTTAGTAAAATGGGAATAATTTATTCGCAGTCGAAAAAAATTGTTTCCGCGTGATGTTTAGGGTCAAATATTTCAAGTTAATGTATTAAAAAAGCAGGAATTGCTATTTTAGGAACGAAACATTTTCTTATTCAACAACATGGCAGCTTTCACTTTGTTGTTTTGGAGATTAAGATGGAGTAGTTCGAGTAGTCGCATACTGGACTAATAAAGTCGCAGTTCAGCCTTAACAGGTAGTATACTAGTCGCAAGATTGCCTAATTTAGTCATCCTAGAGTCTACCTCGTGCCGCCGTAGTTTTATCCGAGTGGATAAAGTATCGGTAATATGTCGATGTATATTTAAATTTAGTTTTATATGTACCTTTCTTATCTTTAATTAAGTTTTTTTATAAAAACAAAAATAGCACTGAACTGTCTGGCTGAACAGAACAATGAGTTGAAAATTTAAAATTTAAGGTTATGGTTCAATACAGTTGCAAAAAGGTAGTGGCTCGACGTCCTACCAAAGTAAGAATAAGGAAATCTAAACAACGTTGGAATTAGTAAAACAGACGACGTTTGCATAACGTTGGAATAGGTCCAGAAAGTGACGTCGGAAAACTCTTTATTGCCCAACATTGTAACTACGTTGTCCGAATCACCTAAAGATCACTTAAGCAAAAATGGTTACAAGACAACGTTTATTCGACGTCGCAGAAGCTTTTACATTGTTGTAATACTAGTTCAACGTCGGCACAACGTTACAACAACGTTTACATTTATTTTAATACCCAAGGTACGGAGCTAACTATTTTTTGTAACTAATCCAACGTTGTGTTTAGTAAATATGTGGTCGCAAGTCGTGAAAATGCTACTTGGGCTACTACAAAAAAAAATTGCTACTACTTTAATTTCTAATAGTTATTGTTTTGTTTCGATTATTGAAAAGCTTAAAAATAATTGTCCCGGAATCGCCGATGCTCAAGTTGGGAACCCTAATTGCAAACACGTTACAACAATTACAAGAAATGTTGAACACACATACCTGGGCATACGAGGCTTTGGGCCTTAAGCTAAACATCGACAAAACCAAAATCATGTGCACTCCCCTTGAAGATCATAACAATGCTATAAAAATTGGAGAAGAACTATTGGAATATGTAGCGGAATTTAATTACCTCGGCAGTTTGATTTCGGAAAAGTCCAATATCGAATCTGAAATTCAGCACAGGATTAGCAGCGCCTCAAGAGCACTCTGGAAATTAAAAGACAGGGTTTTCTACAATCATGACTTGAGTACAAAAACGAAACTTGCAGTGTACCAAGCAATTATAATCCCCACCATGTTATATGGGAGCGAAACCTGGGTGCCGTACCGCCGACACATGAACGCATTAAACAAGTTGCAACAGAGACACCTTAGACAACTCTTAAGAATCCGGTGGTTCAATCATGTCTCAAACGTATCGGTCCTTGAAAAAGCTAACTGCGAGAGTATTGAAGTTATGGTTACAAAATCCCGCTTAAGATGAGCTGGTCACGTATGCAGAATGCAAGAAAACCGCATACCAAAATCTCTCCTTTACGGTGAGCTTGTAGACATACCGTAGAGGAGGCCGGGTGGACAACTCAAAAGGTACAAAAACATTTTCTACGAAAACTTAAAGGGGATTAACATGCAGAATGAGTGGGTAGAAGCAGTGCACAATAGAACTCAATGGAGAAGAATTGTAAACTCAGTTAACACCGACAACCAAAAAGTAAAGGGCAACAAAGCAATGAGATTTTTGAATGTCCGGAGTGCGGTAGGTAAATAACATCGTATCGGGGTTTTCAGTCACAAAAAAGTTCATGAAAGAAAATGCCTTGCGTGACCATCTTTGAAGCGTGTCGAATATTCGTCAGCGAGTAATGGTAGTATGTATGTATGTATGTGGAGGAGCCTAGTAATTTCAGCTTAGCCTGAGTACCGGAGCAGGAGGATCATACGAGCATCGCCACATCAAAAATCTAATCTATTAGGCCAGTATTACACTATCAAATTTCTTTGTCAAAGATTTTATTTTGTCAAATAATTTAACAGTGTAATATGTGTGATTTTATAAAATATTGTATATTAACACTGTCAATTATTTCATCAAATATCTTTTATAAAAGATACTTTGACAAAAAAATTTGATAGCGTAACACTGACCTTAAAGAGGTCTTATTAACTCTTGGTTGCTTTCTTACCCCTTTATATTTTTCAAACCAATTGCCAACATTCGATAATCGTGATTATCGAAAATAATTTCCTGTATTATTGGAGATCTGTGAAGTAATCTTTTCTCATTTTTGAAAGCTTTGCCAGTAAGGAGACGCTCTTCTTCTGAAGTTGCTTGGGGCAGAGGTACCCCCGATGATTCAACAGGACTGAAACATAATGTTCTCAACAATCTATTAGTTTCTCTTTCTAAAATTAAATATTATCAACTTATTAACTTCACATTTATTGTCAATGTGTAATTTGTGTCACTAAAATTTTATAGTAATGATGAGCCAGACTGGTCTTAGTTTGTACAGGGTGTCCCATTTTGGTTGAAATCATACGGTATCTACGTTATAAGTAAAGTTTTTTGTTAAGTTTGTCCCACTTTTTTTCAAACGAAAGATGCTGTCAACAAAATTTTCATAGCCCTAGCTACAGGGTTCTAAAAATTTTGCAATTTGGGATAGTATCTCCGTTATTGTGGATGATGTCGAGAAGGTGAAAACTAATTCTTGTAGAACTTTATGCGTAGAATATAGGGGCGTAGTCTGTTTTTTTACGAAAAAATATTTTTGAAAATATGAACTAGAGTTATGTCTTTTCAAATGGAACATCCTATATATTTATAAATCATTCGATCCGTCTTGTTATGAGCTTCACAAAAATATATAACACTCTATATTTATTTTTACTATTTACTGCAATATTTAAAATATATCATTTTTTTATTAGTGGGCTGTGATAAATGACAAAAAAATCAAAATGGAATTTACTAAAATAGTCATACACATATTAAAATTTTATTTGGGATTGATATATTTTACTTTTGAACTATTACCACTGAATCTCTGAATATATTTTTATAACGGAATTTATTACAACGAGATGGGTTGGCAAATATCAAAAAGCTTGCATTATTAAAGCATTTTCCAGGTATTCGACATTGTTGTAGTTGTCACGATAGATTTCATATTTCAAAAATCTCCAAAATCATAAATCGAGAACGGACAAATCCGGGAATCAGGGAATCATCATATGGGTCCATTGGTTCCAATTCATTGATTTGAGAAATAATAATTTAACAAAATTCTAATACTTTCAAAGTTGTGAGGGGGAGCCCCATCTTGCTGAAAGTATATTTTCCGTAAATTAGCTAAAGGAATATCTAAAAGTTCCGGTACGATAGCTTCCAATATTTACAAACAGCGGTAGAGAATTAAGTTTCCCTAATATACAGGGGGTCCGGAAATTAATGCAACAAAATTTGGTCATAGATTCTTGAAAAAAAATAGGTAACCCGTATTTTTTATTGTTGGCCAGTGGCCCCCCTTTTCGGATTTACAGCCTCCTGAATTTCGCCCCTAAAAAGAGTTTTTTTTTAATATCTCAGGGCCCTGTTGGACGAAAATCACTAAATTTGGTACACGTTGTTTTACCATAAAATGACATTCTTTGATGCTCTTAACTAACTTTTTTTATTTTCATCAGTGGCGTCCCTACAGTATTTAAACTAAATGTTATTGAAGAAAAAAATGGTACGCCACTGTTTTTTTTAATAAAAATTATTTTCAAAATCTACATTAAATTTGGAACAAATTTGATCTCTTGACTTTCTTTTGTTACGACGCACCGTTTTCGCGTAAAAAAATAAAAACCATTTTCATACATGACCAAATCGCTAAAATTTTAATGTAAATGTTCATAGCAAAATTAAAAAAACGTTTAAAAATTAAGTTTGCTGTTTTAAAAATATTGCCATTGAAATTTACGGTAAAATTTTAGCGATTTAGTCATGTATGAAAATGGTTTTTATTTTTTTACGCGAAAACGGTGCGTCGCGTCGCGTCGTAACAAAAAAAAGTCAAGAGATCAAATTTGTTCCAAATTTAATGTAGATTTTAAAAACAATTGTTTATTTAAAAAGAACAGTGGCTTACCATTTTTTTCTTCACAAATATTTAGTTTAAATACCGTAGGGACGCCACTGATGAAAATAAAAAAAGTTAATAGCATCAAAAAATTTCATTTTATGGTAAAACAACGTGTACCAAATTTAGTGATTTTCGTCCAACAGGGCCCTGAGATATTAAAAAAAACTCTTTTAGGGGCGAAATTCAGGGGGCTGTAAATCTGAAAAGGGGGACCACACGCCACATGCCAAAAATAAAAAATACTGGTCACCTATTTTTTTTTCAAGAATCTATGATCAAATTTTATTGCATTAATTTCCGAACAGCCTGTATAAAAAATTTATTAGTGGCCCCCAAAATAAAACAAGAGACAGGTAGCAGTATACTTATAATAATTCTTTAGTTTCTTTTATTATCAATCATTGCCTACTAATAAATATGATTTTTTAATAAAGACTTTTAAATATTGCAGTAAATAGTGAAAATAAATATAGAGTGATATATATTTTTGAGAAGCTTATGGCAAGCCAGATCATATAATTTATAAGTATACAAAGTGTTCCAATTAAGAAATCATAACTTTAGTTCATATCTTTAAAAATTATTTTCCTAGAAGAACAAACGCCACTGTATTCTACGTAAAAAGTTCTACAATAAACAGTTTTCACCTTTTCGATACCTTTAAAAATAACAGAGATACAGGGGGTGTCCCAAATTGGAAAAGTTCCAAAAAAACTTGTAGCTCAGAAACGCGAGAGTTCAGAGGGCTATGAAAATTTTGTTTACGGCATCTTCCATTTGACAAAAAAGTGGTATAGGTTTGTGTAAACCGCACACTTCTACCTTTACTAATAACGGAGATACCGTATAAGTTTAACTAAAATGGGACAGCCCGTATAAAAAGTAAGACTGACTTGAATAAACTTCACCGGAATATATATGTATACCGTGCTGGCAACTGTTACTTTTGGGTCGGCATTTACATGTGTGGAAGTAAAGCGCATAGGGATTATTAAGTCGGAGTGAGAGAAATGCCACCGACCGGCGCGACGCGCGACGGTATGCTGTTGCGGCGTTGCCGATACGCCCTACCCTATCAAGTAAAGTAAAATCACGATCGCAAACCGTTTATTTTTAAAAGACTTTTTTTTCAAGAGATAACTAGATAAAATCATTAGACCTGTTTCTGAGCATCTGAAATGGAATTATAAGGATATCGTTAGGGTGTCATTTTTTTATAACGAGAAAACGTCAGTAATCGCGATAATTTAAAAACTCAACTTTTTAACACATAACAGGCTATCATAACTCAAGAACCACTTTAGATATTGAAACTTTTTTTTATTTTTAAGATCGGAAATTTTACAATATGTTTACATAAGAAAAAATCGATAAGGTTGTTTTTTCCATTCAAAAATTGTAAACAATCCATCCATTTACTTTTAGAGCATAGCAATTTTCAGCAATCGTGTAATTTTTTTATTGATAAAGATTTTCACATACTGTCTACAAAGAAAATACAGCAGAACTATTAACAAAGTTCTTGAAAAAACTACAATCTATTATTTCTAATAGATTTCGAGATATCGATTTTGAATTCAGAGTTCTAATAGCGCGACCACTATCGAACACCCACTCAATTCCACTTATTTTTACCAAAAATGCAAGTGTTTCTAGCTTGCACTTAAAAAATTCAAGCTATACGGAAAATTACAACGACTCGTTAATAAATAAACAAATCAAGTATCACGAGACGTAATTAAATCGTGAAGCTGAACGCATGACGTACACTTTTCCCTAGAACTTTAAGTACTGACAGAGGTATTGATTGGGTCGACCGGTTAACTGCGACAAATCTTCTATATCCCCTTCCACGTCTCTTAGCGATGTGCACAGTTTCTCGGTTTATTTCATACGTTTGGCAACGTGTTTACTGTCCTCTCTTTGTTCAGTACATTATAAACGCATTGTACTCTTCTTACATACGGAAATCTCGACCCAAGACTAACCTTTGCCAGCCCTTAGTATAATATAATATACAATTTAGTAGCATCTGAAAAATATTTTTATTAACAGTTAGTTTACCTAATAATGGAAGGTTTTTTCGAAACAGAGCTATCCATACTACTTTCACCGTCATAAAACACAATATTTCGAACAATTTCCTATCTTTGTCCGAGAGGGAGTCGTTGTTTTTGTTGCTCATGTGATGAAACATTTTCACATCTTCTAGGCCCAACAAAATAGCGGCGTAATCTCTGGACACCATACTACGCAGATCGGCTAAATTGTCCCTTATTTCATCTTCTAGAACTATTACACGAGGGTGGCGGAGTTGTCGAGAAGTTTCTGCTCTTCTTCTTTGCATTCTGTTCCAAATCTATATACCAATGTACCGGGTAGTCCATTAGTCTGAGGAAGTCCAACATCGTTGTTGACGAAATTGAAAAATAATATAACTGGGCGCTTTTTTTCGATGATATGCTATGTATTGACCGAGAGTAGTTGTTAAAAGTAAACTTAAAATATAAAAAATTCAAATTTGTCTGGATTTTGTTGGTGTTAAAATAAAAAATTACACTAAATTACATTCAATACACATGTGATAACAAAATTTACCTGCAAATAATATTGAAAGTAAACAATCATTGATCTCAAAAATCGATCCATGACCGCTGTATGGAAGTATGATATAAATTCCAAAGACAAGTCGCTCACTTTTGAAGTAAATATGGCAACATCTTTGACGTCTTGTATAGTAGCAACAGCGACATCGCCAACTTTAACTTTCCTCTGATAATGTTTCCGAAATTTTGCCTATTGTTATAATAAATTTGAATAGACCAGAACAATTTGAAATACTTAAGTTACATACTTTAGCGTAACCGTCTAACGTATCCATAACTTGAATTTCGATATCTATATTTTTCCGACCAGAAATAGAACGTGATATATTTGAACTTCGACTGCAATTTGAAGCAACCTGTTGGATCGCATCTTTCCTAAAAAGAATAATAACAATAACAAAGAAATTGATATCACTAAAACAAAAAGCGTCTCAGAATAAATAATTATAAATGCATATTTGTACTATAGTAAGTTTACTGACATTGCCAATATGCCGATGTTAAATGAAGACAATGTCAACAACAGCCCGAGTCACTTATGCATTTATTATCAGCATGTCCAACTCATACTGTCACTAGTTTGATCTAACGACATAATTCCGTATTTCTGTGTTAGTTATCTAATTTTATCATTTGAGATAATCATTTGAAATACACTGACCGGCTTATTCTGAATGGCATGGTCTAACATTTGAAGAAATTTCTCAGTTTCAATACACCAGAATACACTTCAATATAAGAAAAATGTTCAACCATTGATTTCTCATCAATGCTTGAACATTTTTCTTCATTTTAGTAAGCACAATCTTCAGATTGTCACCCCGTGACAATCCAAGGACACTGTCTCCTCAATAAACACCTCAGTAGATTGAAGCTAAGAAACAACTGCAAATGCAGATTCTGTGGGGAAAATGGGGAAACACCAGAGCACCTCATCACTGAGTGCGCCGAGACGACCACCATTCATGCTATAAACTTTGGTATGACTGATATCGGAGTTGGAGAACTAACCTTTGTAAAACCGTTTCAGATATTAGCTTTTATCCAAGCTCTGAGACTGTATGATGAGTTTATAAATCGCAGATTTATTAATAGCAGACCTTGCAGTCGAATATTGTTCTTTTTAGAACCTTTTTTAGTGCGAAGTGTCCAAGATAGATTAATAGCCGTAAAAAACTCAAATCGCAACTTTATTAAAATATTTTGAACGGGAAAGCGGTAGTACCCTTTATGTCCCTTAAGCGCTGTAAGAAGGTGAGTTTTGTTGATGTAAATGATAACTGTTTATATATTTATAATTAACTAGCGTGCACCAGCGACTTCGTTCGCGTTGCAAAGCAAGAATTTCCATTAACATACAAACTGGATAAAATTTTCTCACATTTATGTCAGGATGAGAAAAAAACAATATGACAATATTATTATATAACTTGATAATATTTGAGGGGTAGTTTCATCTCGTTCGAATTTGACTTTCGAAAAATCCGTGTGCCAAAAATAAGCTTCGTAGTAAGAATCGTGGTTAAGAAATTATCGAACTTTTTGGAACACCCTGTATGACTTTTTAAAAAATTTCAAAATATGTAAAAAAACCAAATAAATTATGCTTGTCCAAGCGTTTTCCCGAAAGACTAACCGTTTTTTAAATAACAAATATTGTAATATTTGAGGGGCGTTTTCACCCTCTTGGAATTTGAGATTCGAGAAACCCCTCCTTATCGAACCTCTAGACTCCACAGTCAATCCGTTTGCCAAAAATCAGCTTTAAACGTCAAGCAGTTTAAGCAGAATCGTGATTACTCAATGGTCATATTTTATGAAACACCCTGTATAAATTTATAAAATATCTTAAAATATGTAAAACAACAAAATAAAATATACGTGTTTAAGAGTTTTTCCGAAAAACTCACCGGTTTTTAAATAAAAAATATTTTAATATTTGAGGGATAGTTTCACCCCCTTAGAATTCGAGTTTCGAAAAATTCCTTCTTATCGAACCTCTAAAGTCAATCTGTTTTCCAAAAATCAGCTTTTTACGTCAAGCGCTTTAAGCAGGATCGTGATTAATCAATGACCAGATTTTTCGAAACACCCTGTATACATTTTTAAAAAATCTTAAAATATGTAAAAAAACAAAATAAAATATACGTGTTTAAGCGTTTTTTCGTAAACTTGACCATCTTTTAAATAAAAAATATTGTAATATTTGAGGGGCGGTTTCACCCTCTTAGAACTGGAATTTCGAAAAATCCCTTCTTATCGAACCTCTACACCCTAGAATCAACCTGTATGCCAAAATTGAGTTTCTTACGTTGAGTGGTTTGAGCAGGATCGTGATTAATCAGTATGTCAGTCACTTAAATATTTTATATATTAGTATAGATTTAATTTTATTTCCTAAAATATTTTGATTAAAAGAAAATATGTAAAAGTGGGCAACGCTGTGCCGGTCAAGTTTAATCACGTGACTAAAAGTTTATTTGATATGAACTATATAGTCTGTCCAACGAGAAGATCCTTGACAGTGATAGATGAGTCTGTCATTTAAATTTCAAAGTAGTTTATTTTATTTTACACAGAAATAAGTTGGTACAACTGGAACGCATAGCAGGAAATTAATATATGTATTTAAAATTTGACTGACAAGTAACTTCAAAAAATGTGAAAAAAACTGTATAAAACTGAAAAAGTGTAATCGAGTTATTTTATTTAATAAAAAACGGTATGTATATATAAAATATATACATTATATAATAATATATAATGTATATAAAAAACAAACAAAAACAAGACACCACATACCAAAAAATATAAAAAAGAACTATTTCTTACTGTCAAGCTTTATGAAACTTCCCGCATTTATGATTATATTTATCAATATAACTTATGTTCAAATACAATTTTGTAATATTCCGCAGGAATAAATAAAACATAAATAAAACAAACTATTTTATTAATAATAACACTTACCAAATTTTATACCTCACAGGTTGATTAATTAACTTTAATCTTAATTTTTTTAAACCAGTACCTTTTGACATTATTTTTCTGCAGTACTAAAATCCATTATTTACCGATCGTGTGATGTCGATATTTTACAGCTACTCCAGTTTTTAGTATGTGTTTAGTATGGTCCTTCTACCATATTCGAGATGCACTTATCTACGACGAGTATACGAACTTTATTGATAGTAACTTTATTGGTGTATCTGTATAAGACTTTCTGCCTGGGCAGCGAGTATTAACCATAAACTGTGTTCTGGGTTCTACAGTTAATTTTCACTCGATTTTTCCTCCACTTGACTTCAAAAAACAAAACACACGTAATAACACGAATCAAAATGCATCATCTTCCAAAACGCAGGTTATTTGACAAAAGTTAACACAAAATTATAACCTATAATTTGGCAAGACTTTGACAAACGTCAAAAATCTAAAGGCGAGTTCATACGCACCGGCGTCCGTTTGTCGTTCATCGTTCCGTCAAACTTACGTCAAACCAATAAAATTAAAATACGATCTGTCATTTTTGAAATAAACCAATAAAACTGGTTAAAAACAACAAGTGACGACGCATGACGAATTTATATTTAAACCCATCCATAGTTAACTTAAAAATTATTAGTAACTTTTTTTAGTAAAATAAATAGATTGGTATGGGACGTCATCTGCTTTTCTTCTGTCATCGTCTGTCGAAATCTTACCTCAGAAAAAAAACAGAGTAGTATAGTCGATAAGCGCTCTGCTCCATAAGAAAACATTAGTTACAAACTTGCAACTAAATAGTCAGCCGACTAAAAATTCTCTGTCAGCGTACGGGCTAATAATTTTTGGGGATCCGGGACAACTTACGTAAATCCAGGATTTTCCCAGGAATCTCGGATGTCTGGCAACCCTAGGACTAACTGATTCAATGTTCCTCAACAAATAACGAACGTAAGAAGTGTGAGAATTTTTCCGTTCAGATTTTCTAGTTTTGAGGAAATATTGAAAGAATTGATTTCCAAAATGAATCCCTTCAATATAGTTTCACTAGTATAGCTATTTACGGCATTTTCGTTGTTTTTAATACATCAGAATATTTTGCATCTCATATGCCAGTTGTTGACATACTTCTCGAACAGCTGGTTGTAATTTTATGGACATTTTATGTTTACGAGTGCAACGGTTGTCAAAAAACTATAAAATAAATATAAAAAACAAAATAACAAGCATTCGATGAACACAAGCGTATTTTCCGTCTTTCAGTAACGACGCGACACCTGATTCAGTACGACTAAGAGATGAGAACACACCTTTAGACTATAGGCCAGTAAACGTAGCCGAGTTTTATATGTAAAGGTGGAAAAAATTAGTAACCAACCGATCTCAACGGGAATGTGTAGATAATGATCTCCTATTAAACCCCTCAAAAGTCCCATTCCGTCCCAGTGGGGGAAGTTTGAAAAAAACAGCCGCCATCTTGGATTTTTTCGTTTTTTTCAAATATCTCCGTTTGCATAACTTTTTTCGTTAAAACTAATGACATGTTTTTTGTAGAGAATTAAATTTACAATATTTTACCTTCAATCATTTTCTTTCTAAAATAAATAGTAATTGAGATAGAGCAATTTTTTACTATACGTTTTATAAATTTTCCAATTTTTTCATCAGCTATAATTTTTGCGTTAACAGTATAGTGTTAATATAGATAAACCAAGTATAAATTTAAGCATTAAAACAATTAAAAATAACGTTTAAATATTATTTATTAAGTAAAATTATTGTTAAAAAAATTATTATTAAAGTAAAGTTATTAAATAAAATCTGCTATGGCATCATTCTGAACGTCATTTTCGTCCTCAACTAAAATACAAAAGTTTGTGCAACTGATTTCGTACACTGACCACACTTTGAAGAACATTTAAGACCCAGTTTTCTACAAGAATTTTTAGAGCACTGACTCTCTTTGCTATTGCAAAAAAATAATATTTTAGTTAGGTTAGGTTACGCCACATCGTCTGTTAATTGAATAGGTGTTAGATTGCCTTTTTGATCTTTCTTCTATCCATATTGTAAAGGATCTAACTTATTACAATTCCCATTCTTAAATCTAAAAAATACAACTTATAATATTTCATATAATAGATATTACTACAGTTACCTGAAAGTATAGTCTGTCCAACTAAAAGATCCTTGACAGTGATAGATGTATCTGTCATTTTAATTTCAAAGTAGTTTATTTTATTATACAAAGAAATAAGTTGGTACAACTGGAACGCATAGCAGGAAATATTTAAAATTTGATTGACAAGATGACAAGTGATTACTTCAAAATATTGTGAAAAAAACTGTATAAAACTGAAAAAATGTAATCGAGTTATTTTATTTAATAAAACCGGTATGTGTTAATACAAAACAAACTACATACAGAAAAAAAAAGACACTACATACCAAAAAATATAAAAAAGAACTGTTTTTTTTACTTTCAAGCTTTATGAAACTACCCGCATTTATGATTATATTTATCAATATAACTTATGTACAAATACAAATTTGTAATATTCCACAGGAATAAATAAAACAACATAGGTAAATAAAACAAACTATTTTATTAATAATAACACCTACCAAATTTTATACCTTGAAGGTTGATTAATTAACTTTAATCTTAATTTTTTAAACCAGTACCTCTTGACATTATTTTTCTGCAGTACTAAAATCCATTATTTACCTATCGTGTGATGTCGATATTTTACAGCTACTCCAGTTTTTAGTATGTGTTTAGTTTGATCCTTCTACCATATACAAAGATGCACTTATCTACGACGAGATGGTATACAAACTTTAACGATGGGGTGTATAAGACTTTCTGCCTGGGCAGCGAGTATTAACCATAAACTGTGCTCTGGGTCTACAGTTAATTTTCACTCGATTTTTCCTCCACTTGACTTCAAAAGACACAAAACACACACGTAATAATACGAATCAAAATGCATCATCTTCCAAAACGCAGGGTATTTAACAAAAAGTTGACACAAAATTATAACCTATAATTTGGCAAGACTTTGACAAGCGTCAAAAATGACAAAAATGTAAAGGCGAGTTCATACGCATCGGCGTCCGTTTATCGTTCATCGTTCCGTCAAACCAATAAAAATTGAAATACGATCTGTCATTTTTAAATAAACCAATAAAACTGGTTAAAAAACAACAAGACACGACGCATGACGGATTTATATTTAAACCCATCCATAGATAACTTAAAAATTATTAGAAACTTTTTTAGTAAAATAAATAGATTGGTATGGGACGTCATCTGCTTTTCTTCTGTCATCGTCTGTCGAAATCTTACCTGAGAAAAAAAACAGAGTATACTTTATTCTTCTACCTACTACCTTCTACCCTCTTCTACCTACTAATTTGTAAAAATACCAAAGAAAAATATAATAGAAATGTGAATACTAACCCTGTGAACATAACTCCATCGTTGTATTGGTCCCATACCCAAACTCCATTCTTGTACAGTACTCTATCAGTCATTTTATATCGTCTAAAATATGGGCAGTGACAGCTCTGGTGACAGTTCTGACATAAGTAAATGGCAGATGAGTAAAAGTTTTGTCATATTTAGATTTTGGCAGAAGTGTCTGTGGAAAACAATGAGGCTTATAACATTCCGTTGCAAAACCAGGTGAACCAGACCGGTAAACTACGGTAAAGTGCGGTTCCTGAAAAGCATCGGTTAAATTAATACGAAACGGTTGGGTAAAATATTGGAAATCTCAAATGTTGACGTTTTCTAAATTTCAATACCTTAATTATTAAATTTATCTTTTACTCATTTTTAAAGTATGATGTTTTTAATGTATCTATTATCTGCTTTTACGCTTGATTCTTCTTTTCAATGGAGTTTAATATTGAAAAGTACCCTATGGTCTGTTATGTAGGTTACCCACCGTATGAAATTTGGTGGGTACGCTATGTGAGTAACGGTGTTCACGGTCCCACCCTGCAAAGTTCGATACGACATTTCGTTTAAATCTTCAACAGAGTGGGACTAAAGATTTGATATTGAAGAAAAATGAGGGTCGATTTCGGCATAATTGGCGACGGGCTACAGGATGACGCCCTCGACGGACGTTTCAAACCGATGCCTATAATGGAAGAAATCATCAGGATTTTTTTAAATTATGGGCCGATTGGAACCAAATTCTGCACGTGGATAGAGGTAACCGAATGGGGTCTATGGACAAACGGGCATTTTAATACAAATTTTGTGAAAGCAAATCAAATTATTTATTAATTTTTAGTTTATTACTTTTTCAACATTTTAAACTATCTACACTTTTTCTAACATGTCCTTAAAATCCTTTAATTTAATAGCTCTGCCGTTAGTAAGACAGAGAAACAAATATGCACACAATTTTTTTCCATAACAAGGGGCCATCCTTTGCCGGAAACACTGCGACCTGTGAGGTTTATTGTGTTTGTCCCCTTTCTATATCTGCACCCACAAAGACTTCCTTGATCCAGGTTGAGCTTGTTCAGGTAACACTTGACAGCCATGTGTCCTGTCAAGAGGCCTTTTGTAATCCGTACTTTATTCCTGCTAAGCATTAGCAGCTTTTTGCAGTTCTTTTGCGTGGACCTGTGGGCTCATAAGCGCCCCAAGTGCCGCTTGACTGTCTGAGCTTAGATTGATGAGCTTACCTAAATAAGCTAACCTATGAGCTTACCTAAATAAGCTCTTCTATTGTTTTCTCTCGCACATTGTAGAATGGCGAATATTTCTGTCTAGAATACGGTTGAGTGTTTACCCAAGGAATAGGATAAGCTTGCTCTTGGTGTTTCCCCAAATACTACAGCTTCTGTTCCTTCAGCGGTCTTTGGCCCGTCTGTATACCGGGTTAGTCCATCCTGAAGGAATGTTATATCTGTCCACATTCCTCGATCCATTTTGTTCTCATCGAATGGTTTGTATAGTGATAAAGAGGAGTCATTTTGTCCGATCTCATTTGGAGTAATGAATCTCCCATCTTTAAGTGTCCTGTTTCTGTCCCAGAGACAAGACACTTTGTCGTCGATACAGTCCCATTCTTGCCTCCGCGTTGATCACTATGTGAAGATGCGAAAGGTCCAGAAGCGCCTCCATTGATGCAGTGGGCGTTGATTTCATCGTCCCTGTTATGCTCAGACAAGCAAGTATTTGCACCTTACTAAGGTTGAGCATTGTTATTTTTTGCATTACCTTAGGCCATACCAAGGATGCATATATTACTGAAGGCCTCACTACTCCAGTGTACAGCCAGTGCACCATCTGTGGTCTGAGACCCCAGATTTTTCCATGAAGTCGTCTGACTACCGCTAGTGTAGTCACCGCTTTCCTTGTGACATTTTCCAAATGTCGGTTCCAGGTCAGTTTGGTATCCAGCATGATTCCTAGATACTTGACCTCCCCCGAGAGAGGAATTCCATCACCGCAGAGTCTTAGGGTAAAAACATAGTGGAGCGACGAGGCTAGAGGCACAGCGACGAGGTAAGAGACAAGATAAGCGACGCGACAGGAGACACGTACATAATAAGGAGACAAAAGTTGAGATTTATTGCTCGACTTTCCAAATTCAAACCAGTATGTACAATGTTCTCCGACAGTGAAGATTAGATTTTATTCGATAATAGCCACTTCTGCCCAAAGTTCGTCTAATGCATAGCAGTTTCTGTGGTCTGGATGAGATGCATTCCATAACGCACGCCTGTTACATATGTTATTATATTATTCTCAGCCATTGCAAATGATAAATGTTGTCTATATACCAGTAGTACTCCTACTTAATGATACCAGTCAACCGAAAAAAGACCACACGCATTCCAGCGTCAACGCGACAAGAAATCATATTTTTATCTCGACGCGCGTCTCCTCGCTTGTCTCGTCGCTTGACGCTTCGGCAATCTCTTTACTATGTTTGTCTCCATTACAATACACGATCAAATTCAAGTCGCGACGCTTACCTCGTCGCTGTGCCTCTAGCCTCGTCGCTCTACTATGTTTTTACCCTTAGAAGTCCTGGTCCTCCAAAATTCTTCTTTTGGTGAAGGGGATTATTACAGTCTTTGTAGGACTAATATTTAGTCCCTTTTAGGCCCTATCTTCAGGGCCCTTTGCATTCGCTCCCTTACTGTTGTGTTAAACTTACCTCTGACTATGCGAATATGCGCACATAGTGCACACACAATTTTTTTTGTAGCAAATATTAAGCCACCTATTGACAAGGCGGATGACCTATTGACACGGATCACCTATTGACACGGCAAAATGGATGTCATCGTTGACCGCATCGCAAATACAAAGTCCTTTCTCAAAATCATTTCGCGTATGATATCGCACAAGTATACTTGCACCGTCTGGGGTTATAGAAAAATACTTTGTATTTGGCCCAGTCTAATCTTGCTCAAGGATCTTACTACGTATGTTTGGTTTGGTTTGCAGCAAAAAAATCTAATACACTTTGTGAAAGGAATTGTTTATCTCTCATACAAAGCATGATTGATCTTAAAACATTTTCATCACAACTACATAAGAATATTCTGTTCTAGTTCGCAGTGGAAAACACATATCTTCTAATATTCTACAAAACAAGAAAACATGCAAAGGCAAAAGAGTAAGAACAATTTTCACTCCAGAACAACTAGAACGTTTGGAAGCGGAGTTTGAGAAGCAACAATACATGGTTGGGCCTGAGCGACTTTATTTAGCGCACACACTACAACTTACAGAAGCCCAAGTAAGTACAACTTTTCGCTTTCTGTTTTAAATGAGTTATTGAAATTGATTATTACATAGCATTATTTTTTATAAAATATATCTATGTAACAATCGTTATATTGAGCTTGAGCTCATAAAACAGTTATTCCATAGAATTATTTATTTAGATATTCGATCTCAAGTCCTTCAAAATAAAGGAATACATTTCTATTCTAGCCCATGCGAATAAATATGGAATATTTTGTTTTAATAGAACTACATGTTTTTAAAGTACAACATATACAACATATCAGAAATCTTAGTAAAAAACAAGATATTTCATATACAGACATTTTAAGCTTTTTATTCAGAACCTCGAAATTAGTGGTTTCAATTAAGCTTTATTCAGAACCTCGGAATTAGTGGAATAAATTAGTGGTTTCAATTAGCGTAGAAGTTTGTTCCTTTAATTTCAATGTAAGCATTCAGAACGTCAAAATTAGTGGTAGGAATTTTCAATTTGTGGAAAAAGTTTACAAACTTTTACCTTTTCTACTAATTATACTTCAAAATGTGCAAGGAATGTCATTTCGGATTTTGATTATCATCTATCAAGAGAAAATGTGGTTAGAAATCAAAAGTTTGTTGTTTTATAAGCTAAATTTTAGGCTTTCTCTATGGATACCACTGATTACCGCAAGCTGTTGCTAGGATATTCTATTAATTTTAATTGTGTTTTTAGACATTGCGAATGATCGTAAACTAAAAAGTATAAAGTGTAATTAAAACGACTAATTTCTTCCACTGATTGCGGGGTTCTGAATGAAGCTTTAGTTTATTATAACCTTCAAGCTTCATTCAGAACCTCGCAATTAGTGGAATAAATTAGTGGTTTCAATTAGTGTAGAATTCTGTAGTTCCTTTAAGAAGAATTATTAGTTTTTTTAGAATTATTGTAGTTCCTTTAATTGCAATTTAAGCATTCGGAACGTCAAAATTAGTGGTAAATATTTTCAGTTAGTAGAAAAAGTTATCAAACTTTTAACTTTTCCACTAATTATACTTCAAAAATTGCGAGAAATGTCATTTTGGCCTTTGATTATCTTCCGTCAAGAGAAATAGTGGCTAGAAATCAAAAATTGATTGTTTTGTAAACTAAATATTAGGCTTTTTCTATGTATATAACTAACGCAAGCTTTTGCTAGGATATTCAATTAATTTTAATTGTGTTTTTTTTTTAATATTGTGAATGATCGTAAATTAAAAAATATAAAGTGTAATTGAAACCACTAATTTATTCCACTAATTGTGGAATAAATTAGTGGATTCCAATTAGTGGATTAAATTAGTGGTTTCAATTACACTTTATACTTTTTAGTTTACGATCATTCACAACGTCCAAAAACACAATTAAAATTAATAAAATATCCTAGCAACAGTTTGCTGTAGTCTGTTGTATCCATAGAGAAAGCATAATATTTAGCTTATAAAACAATAAACTTTTGATTTCTAACCAAAATTTTTCTTGACGGGTGATAATCAAAGGCCAAAATGACATACCTCGCAAATTTTGAAGTATAATTAGTGGAAAAGTTAAAAATTTGTTAACATTTTCCAATAATTGAAAATTACTACCACTAATTATGACGTTCCGAATGCTTACATTAAAATTAGGTTAACAAACTTCTACGCCTAATTGAAACTGCTAATTTATTCCACTGATTTCGAGGCTCTGAATGAAGCTTTAAGCCGGCGTCTCATGCATCCGAAATCCGATGGTACGACATCCGAAATTTGAAGTTATCTTGTGAAATAAAAATAGCCTGTCACATACATCCGAAAGTTCGTTCCGAAATTTGACAGTTTTGACATTTAGACCTGTCATTTCCTATCAACAGTATCTACATTATTACATGTATTATTGGAGAAACACTTATAAAAATAATTTCCTCGCCAAATATCCCGAAATTGTCCCCTTCCCACTAAACTTGTTTTTAAAAACCAATGTTTTCAAAAAAGGTGAGGTTAAAAAACACACGATATCGTACAAAAGTTAAACAAAATTTAACTTTATACGACATCGGACGATTAGTTAAAAATATCGGATAAAAATTGGTGTCAAAATATTTCGACCAATAGGAGCACCGTCGGATCGTCGTGTCATCGGATTTCGGATGCATGAGACTCCGGCTTTAGTATTTGACATGACATTTATTTATTATGAAGGGTTAATCAAAAAGTTGTTTTTTAGCCTATCTTTAAAACGCCCTGTGCAATAATTTCGTGCGCAAATTTTCCTAAAACATAATTTTTCGATCAGAACCATGCTTCCTTATTATATATTACTTACATATGTCAACACATGCCTTGGTTAATTTTTAAGAGCATAATGTACAGGGTGTCCCACTAAGAATAGCTCTCGGCTGTATCTCGGAAAGTATTAGCCGTAGGGTCTGCGGAAAATTTTTTTTTATAACTAAAGAGGCTATGAGAAATTGCTGGAAATTATTTTTAAGTTTGTAGAACGACCGCTAGGGGGCGCAACTGCAACAAAAAATAAGAAAATGGAGTTTTTACACAATTTTGCCTAGATAAGGTATACTATAAGTAATAGATTCATAATCTACAGTAAATTTTGAATATTCTTTGTTAGAGCCTTTTCCCCTATCTACTAAAATACAGTGGTGGGGAAAGGTTAAATCTGTTTTTATTTAAATATTAATAACTCCGGACTGGATGATCGGAATCCAACAAGCGAGGGCCCGTTTAAAAGAGCGTTTCTTACTCTATATTTTACCATATAAACAATAATAATAAGCGTTTAAACGTAGACGCTAGGGGGCGTTGTCTTACAATTTAACAAAAATTGCGTGTTTTTTCAAAAAAAAAATTAAATGCAATAGTATACGTAATTTTAGCTGAAGTCTGATCTTTTTTCAACCCAAAGTTATTAGCAAAATTATAATAAATACGAAAATAAAAGCCCTTAATTACCTTATTACACGGTATTACTAGCCCTCTTGATTATGAACATTCTGACAAAAAATAAGATAGAAATGATTATATTATTCTAAAATCGACAATATACCAGAATACATAACATCAGATCTATTAATATCTAATAATTAAGATATCAATGACAGTTGATAAGAAACGACGCCTCAGTGAAGTCATGGTAGGCTTTGGAAAAAAATTGCTTTTGACGTAATAGTATAAACGTCAAAGTGTTATTAGATCAACATTTTAATAGTCTTAGCAGCGTTTTTTCTCTGTTGAGGAAAGGCATTTTTAGAAAAGCTAAAAAAGATAAAAAAAGGCTTCTGAGACTATCAAAATGTTGATATAATAATATTTTGATGTTTAAACTATCCGTTTAAAAGCAACTTTTTTCCAAAGCCTACCATGAATTCACTGAGGTGTCGTTTCTTGTCCACCGTCATTTGTATCTTAATTATTAGATATTAATACACCTAGTATTATGGTTTTCTGGTTCATTGTCGATATTTTGAATAAAATAATCTTTTTTTATTTTATTTTTTATTAGAGTGGTCATAATCAAGAGGGCTAGTGATATAGTGTTGAAAAATACGGTAATTAAGGGCTTATATTTTCGTATTTATTATAATTTTGCTAATAACTTTGGTTTGAAAAAAAATATCAAGATGCGGTTTTCGTTGACTTGTTAAGCTTTTATTACTCTTTACCATCAGCTAAAATTACATATACTATCGTATTTATTTTTTTTGAAAAAACAACAATGTTTGTTAAATTGTAAGACAACGCCCCCTAGCGTCTACGTATAGTATTATTGTTTATATGGAACAATATAGAGTAATAAACGCTCTTTTAAACGAGCCCTCGCTTGTTGAATTCCGATCATCCAGTCCAGAGTTATTAATATTCAAATAAAAACAGATCTAACCTTCCCCCACCACTTTATTTTGGTAGATAGGGGAAAATGGTTCTAACAAAAAAGATCGAAAATTTACTGAAGATTATGAAGCTATTATTTATAGTACATCGTATCTAGGCAAAATTTCTTAAAAATTCCATTTTGTTATTTTCCATAGCAGTTACGCCCTCTAGCGGCCGTCCTACAAACTTGAAAATAATTTCCAGCAATTTCTCATGGTCTCATTAGTTATAAATATTTTTTCCCCAAGTTCTACGACTAATACTTTCCGAGATACAGCCGAGAGCTATTCTTAGTGGGACACCTGGTACTTGCCACAAACATTTTGCAGTTTTTCCAATTATCGTTACTTTTTGATTACGAAGAATATAATGACGAGGTGGTTTTGATGACTATTGTTGTGTACAATTGAATATAGTTCAATCTTCTTAGTTTCGAAAATTGTACAAAAGTCATAGATTTTGTTGAAGATGGCCCAAATTATGAATATTCTCTTGGTCTTTGAAGAAGAATGGGAAAACATAACACAATATATTTGCAGCCTCAATGGCAGTATGAACCGACGTATACAGACAGTTATAGCCTATTTAAACTATATATATTATAAAATAAAAATTAATATTCTACGCCAAACTTTCTAAAATATAAAAAATTATTTTTCTTCGTTTCTTTAAATTGAACACCCTGTATAATATTTTTCCAATAGATGGAGAATTAAAAAATGAACACTTCTTGTGTTTGGAATATTTCAAAATGTTTAACGGTTTCGTAGATATTCCCGGTTTATTTTTTTTATTCCAGTTATTGTATCTTTAATAATTTTTTTAAGAAGGGTTGAAAAATATATATTTTTGATTTATTTTTTAATATCTCTGAAATATATTATTACTCATATCTTAGGATTATGTAAAGTGATCAGAAAGTAAGCCAAAAATGCAATAATATACAGGGTGTTCCATTAAAAAAATCATCCCGAGCCATTCACACTTTTTTGAATCACCCTATAGAAGTTAAAATATTTTCCTGAAATACATCCCGGTACATACTTTAGTTTTGGACTTAAAGAAAAAAAAAGTTTTTTGATCTAGGAGCTACAGATGCCCGACGCACTATTGTCGGACCCTGTATACAGTTTTCTAAATAATTCATGAAAATAGGGCTATACTAAAAATAAAACAAAAATCAAACCAAACCAAACCAAACTTTAAACTTAAGGACAACATTTTCCGTTGCTTAGCAAAAAATAATTTGTAGATTTTTCGTTTCTTCGAATTATTTTATTTTTCTTTAAAAAAAAACAGGTTAAAAAGTATTTTTTTAATAAATGGTGTTCAAACATTTAAACCTAAATTAAATCCGTTACTCGATGGTAAACCTCAAAGTTTCCATCTCTCCATTCATTTAATACATCTACGTTTTAATTGTGTTTCCATCTTCGCAGGTTAAAGTGTGGTTTCAGAACAGGCGCATCAAATGGCGCAAGCACCATTTGGAATTAACACATCAGCGGCTTGCGGTCCTTAAACAGCAGCAGCAGCTCTTGCTAGACGAGGCGCAGCCCGACGTGCAGGATACGAACAGCTCGGAGGCCGATACGTGAAAGACTTTGACGTTTGTGGGTAACATTCGGTTTAGAAAGGGTTTAAAGCTGCAGGTGACCTTGAAATGTTATTTCATACAGGGTACTTTAAGAAAACCATCAAGATTTTTCTATGCAAATTTATTTTTTTTGTTTTATTAAATGAATTGAATGAATAAGTTAAGGAAGAAATATATCAACAAAAAAAATTGGCAACAAAATGTAAATATAAAATAGGGTACACTCGATAATTTGCTAGTTTTGTTTTATGTTGCGTCAATAAACGTTAATAATAATTAAATTTGAATAAAAATATATTTAATAAAAAAATAGATAAGTTGATGTAATTTATTTCTTGATGAATTATTAGCTTTGCACGCAGGTCCGATTCCGAACCAGTCCAGGGCTATTCGCATGCGCAGTTTAAAAAGTCGCATTCGCGGATAAATAAATTCTGAATTTTTATTAACAGTTCTGCGTCCGCGGATCTCATCGAATCGGTTCATTATTGGTTCGGAATCGGTCCTAGCGGTTCTCGGATTTTTGTTAGGACCAAAAATTCGACTCTGCTTATCATGCGTATTACGCCGGATCGGTCGGATCAACGTCAGCTGATTGCTGTTCTTATTTGTGTTGTGTTATTTCCATTATTTGTCAATTGGCTATTTTGGTGTTTTGCTTGGATTTTGTTACCTACCTAGGTACATACTTAATTATATAAACAATTAATTTACCGTTTTCGGCGTCACTAATTTTTTGTGTTTGTACTTATTTAAGACTTACCCTGTATAAATAACTATAATTCATAACAATAATACCCTGGATATAATTTAGGGTATTATTGTTATGAATTAGTTAATTATAGTTGAAGTTAAATTGAAAAAATTGACATATCTTAATTATTTTTGATTAGTAGCAAAAATATACAACTAGTTAGTTCTGAAATAATTTCTGGTTTGATTGATTTACTTCAGTGATGATTTCTCAATAAGTAATAACACTTGTACCCGTGAACCCCTAAATTTAATGCCTTTTCTTGAGAAAAAATCTAATAAAAACAATACTGACAAAATGGTGTTTCAAAATGATCGCTTCCGTTGATCCTCCGTATTTAATGTATGAATGTAAAAATAGTATTTCACTTCTTACTTAGTTAGTTTATTCAATGATTAATGTCCAAGCAAAAATGAATTTTTTATATTTTTTTTGTATATTATTTTTCACGTAAATACTTAAAATTAATGCGTTAAAAAATTAATAACGACTTTCCTAGAGAAGAAACTTTCGTTTATTTTATAGAAAACATTACATTTTGTAAAGATATCTTTTGCATATACACAATAAACATTAAAATCTCCTATCAGGTTTTACTGTTAATAACATAAAAATTTAAAGAATCAATGACAATAGGTCAAAGCAATTAAAAAAAAGTATTTTATTTTTTTAAAGATATTGAAAATTTGGACCAAGCATGTTGGCATGATCAGCAGATGATTAAAACTATCATCATCACCATCATCGTCATTTCCAATTAGGGTGTAACCTCATTTATATATTTTCCCTGTAACTGAACTCGTTGTTGTCTATTGCGAGTCCAAGTTATCCCTGCTAATTTCCTAATATCATGGTCCGATTTTAGGTTTGTTGGCAATACGTTGTACTCAATACGGTTTTTTTTGGTCAAAATATTTCAAGGTCCAACGCCAGCAACGCAAGTTTTAATTTTACCATGTGTATATATCTGACTACAAATATACTTTTTATAAATACACTTTCATAATTATGTCATTTATTTTTAATTATAAAGAAATGTATTCAATTTCAACTCCATAAATAGACAAAAAATCGAATTTGTAAGTTAAATATTATGTCAAACTATAATTCTGGCTAAAATCCTAAAAAATATTCCAAAATGTTATGTTCTACAAAAAAAATCGAGTTTTCAAATACGAATTCATTTCCGTCTATCTACGGTGTTGCCCATTAATAATATTATTTTTTTTTCTTTAATACTTTTTTATACGACAAAATTTATAATAAGTAAGTAGTAAAAAAGATTAGTAAATAATTAAAAGACTTGATGCAATGATTTCATACAATATTAAAAAACCTAAAGCGGGATTTAAAAACTCGGCAGTTGAAGTCTAGTTGAGGTTCAGTTGAAGTTCAGTTGAGGTTCAGTTGAGGTTCACAATGTTAAACACTATGAAATGAAGACGCGCATTTGTAAAGTCAGTTGGTCGAAAAGTTGGCAGTTCGTTTTACGTTCAGAGCATAGTGATGGGCAAAACTGTTATTTTTAGATAACAGTTGAAACTGTTATAGTTATTTATAAAAAAATAGCTTAAAATAACAGCTTAAAAATAGCATGTTTCTTTATTTTATTGCTAAATATTTGAAAGAGTATGAGGCGGTCACCGCCAGGCGTATTAACGCAGTTGCAAGTTATTGTTGCAACTTGCAAGATGTTGCGACATGCTCGGTGGTAGTAATTCCAGGGTGTCAAAACATTTCTAAATATCGATTGTTATCTAAAATACCTCTCTAAAAACGGTGGTTGTTTACCAATAAGCGCTGTTTACAAATTGCGATATTAAAAAGCCAAAATTCCGCCACTCGTCTATACCTATACATTCCGATTTACCTACGCCTTGCCCCTCGATCCGCGTAGATCCTGAATTGCGTAGCAGTGTACAGGGTGCATCTCACTCGACGGGCGAGAAGCTCTTAGTTATAATTTTACCATTTGCGGTCAAAAAATAGCAAAATATAAGAAAATGTGTAGTATATTCTTCATAAGTAAACCAACTACACACTAGAGTTCGAATTGATTTTACACCCAAACTAGCGTGTACCAATAATTTGTAATGGTGATGATAAAGCAAAGCAAGAATTTCTATTAACATACAAACTGGATAAAATTTTCTCACATTTGCCAAAAATAAGCTTTAAACGTCGAGCAGTTTAAGCAGAATCGTGATTAATCAATTACTCAACTTTTTGGAACACCCTGTATGATTTTTTAAAAAATTTCAAAATATGTAAAAAAACAAAATAAATTATGCGTGTCCAAGCGTTTTCGCGAAAGACTAACCGTTTTTTAAATAACAAATATTGTAATATTTGAGAGGCGTTTTCACCCTCTTGGAATTTGAGATTCGAGAAACCCCTCCTTATCGAACCTCAACCCCATAGTCAATCCGCTTGCCAAAAATCAGCTTTAAACGTCAAGCAGTTTAAGCAGAATCGTGATTACTCAATGATCATATTTTATAAAACACCCTGTATATATTTTTAAAAAATCTTAAAATATGTAAAACAACGAAATAAAATATACGTGTTTAAGAGTTTTTCCGAAAAACTCACCGGTTTTTAAATAAAAAATATTCTAATATTTGAGGGTGGTTTCACCCCTTTAGAATTCGAGTTTCGAAAAATCCCTTTTTATCGAACCTCTACACCCTAAAGCCAATCCGTTTTCCAAAAATCAGCTTTTTACGTCAAGGGCTTTAAACAGGATCGTGATTAATCAATGACAAGATTTTTCGAAACACCCTGTATACATTTTTAAAAAATCTTAAAATATTATTCTGAAAATTTTTCAGAATAAATAAATACCTAAATATTGAAACTTAATAACGTACTGAAACATACAGCGCCATAATATCTCGACCTCCGCCCGTTATGGTCGTAACAGGTTGAAAAAAAATGTATCTAAAACAACTGATGCGTTATTCTCCAACCTGTTTCGAATCTCCATCGACAATCGACCGATGCAGCAGCGTTCCTTTCCCACTCCGATTATCTCGACTGCCGCCCTGTTATGCTCGTAACAGGTTGAAAAGCAACGTATCTAAAATGACTGCTTCTCCAACCCGTTGCGAGCCTCCATCGACAATCGACCGATGCAGCAGCGTTCTTTTCCCACTCCTGTTATCTCGACCGCCAGGCGTTATGCCCGCAACTGTTTCAAAAAACCTGCTTCTTTTATATCCTATTATTTTTAAGCTGTTGCAAGCCCAATACGACCATCGACGGTAGCGCATTCGCCACTTCGTTATCCGTTGTCTCGCCGCCTGTATCGATGGTTGACGAAATAACATGTTTTCCATCCATACTAGTTGTTTTTTGGAATTGCTTCGAGCAGCATAGAATTTCGTGGCGGTGCAGTGCGCCGACTTCGTTTTTCGTTTCACGAGCGGCCGATCTCTACGTGTTGTTATTTTATATGTTATTTTTTAGAAGTAGTAACGGTTGCGTTATGTTATTTCTAAATAACTGTTATAAAATAACAGATAGTTAAATAAGAACCCATCACTATTAGAGCAGTTCAAAGATGGTCAATGTTTATGTCGGCCGTTGGCGACCGTTCGCGACGTTCGACGACAGTCAATGAATAAGCTCCTGTCGATCACGTGAAGCACGGTAAAGAGAGGCGACGCCGATGCATTGGAAAATGACCCTTATTGTTGTTTCATTATTTCTGTTAATGTAATGTTTATATTTTGCGTAATTTTGGATTACTGTATTTGAACTTTAACAAATATCAAAAGTACTTTTAAATCGAAAGTAAAACGTTCGAAATTTTCACAATTATTCTAAACCTAACCTACAACCGAAACTGACAGTTTATAAATGCGAAAATATTGAACCTCAACTGCCGCGAACATCCAACTGAAATTAAACTCAACTAACGCCAATTCCCGAGTTTATAAATCCAATATTAATTGTTACAAACCTAATCATTTTTCTTTACAATATGGGCAACAAATAAAAGATGTGTAATAAAAGTGTATGATATTAGTTTTTCCTCTAAAATAAGTTGTAAGTCAATCTACTTTAATACTGCTTCAACATATGTGTTAAATAATAGATATTAGTATTTATTTGTTTAGATTATACAGTAATCTTTAGGAAAATAAGCATATGTAGATGTTATAAGAGCAACTGTTTAATATAAAATAAATTTAAAAATTACATGTGTGTTTTTTATAAATCCCGCCCATTTCTTTTTAGTATGTATTCTCGTTAATTCTAAATACTTATCTTATAATAGAAATAGTTATTTTATGTTTTTAAATCCAAATATATTTTTATTCTAAGTATATGTAGCCCAGTCACAAAAAATAAATTTCACGCTCAATATGGATATAGGTATAAAAAGTTACGCAACGATTTCAATATTATATTCCTAATTTTGTTACCAACATTTAATGGGAACGTCTACCA